TATCCTTACTAATTAAGTGTATTAACTATAACGTAACTACCATTATTTCAAAGACTACTTTAAGAGAAAATGGATAACCATAACAGACAAAATGGATTGGGGTCTTATATTTAGGATCAAAATAAAAGTTAAACAAATTATTAACTCCGATCCTAAATATAAGAGCTAGTTGACTAATTTGAATAGATTAAGAAAATAAATTAGGTTAGTTACTTATAATAAATAGGTGTTGTTTTTCCTAAAATATCCTTGCTAATCAAGTTTATTGGTTAGAACTATCATTATTACAAGAACTATCTTTAAAAAAAAGATAAATATAAGAGACAAAGTGGATTGTAATCTTATATTTAGGATCAAAATAAAAGTTACACAAGATCTTACAGAGGTAGTATTGTTTACAAATTTGTTTCATCAATCGAACTAATTTGGAAAGCGCACATCTCAAGGTTTTGAGAGTCATACCGTATTAATCAATTGATTATCATTTGATGAAAATAATATATGGTATATATATATATGTATGACATTTCAATAAGCTTGGTTTTGTCTGACAAATATCAATTGACGTTGTTGCTGTAATTATCTATTCAAGACTAACTTCACTACACTTAGTGTGAGATATGTGGTCATAATATTGTTTCTGGAACAGTCTGGTCGGCTTTTTTTTTTTTTACGTAAAAAATATTAAAAAATTAGATACATGTATAATAAAATATTTGCAAGATAGAAACTTTTAGTTGCGAGGAAAAAATTAAAAAAATATTTCTTATAAGATGTTTTTATCTTCACAACTTTACATGTTTTCTTTTTAGTTTTTACTCTTTACAAAAAAAATTTTAAATGAAAGAAGTCAAATGGAATTGAACACACTTTTGAGTTTTGAGTACAGTCAAAAATGATCGAGGACTCCAAAGTGGATGTGTGCTTGTGTATTACAGTGATGACAGAGGCAATAGGTTTTGATATGGCTAATTTGTAGAAGGCTATATCTGAGAACAATTGGCCTGCTGCGAAAGAGTTCATTGATCACCATCCTAGGGCCTTGAACCAAGAACTTGCGGCTTCAACAGGCGAAACACCTCTCCACGTGGCTGTAAAGTCTAGGCATTTGAGCATTGTAGAGGAATTGGTGAGATTAGTTCCACCAGAATACCTTCAAAAACTTGATGCTCATGGCTATACTCCACTCGGAATTGCTGCGTCACATAGGGGAATCATTCCAATAGCAAAATGCTTGGTTGATAAAAATAACAATGCACTTTCTATTCCAAATGGACAGCTTAGATTGATTCCTGTTACATTGGCTTTTCGTGTTGGCCTCTATGAAATGGGACGTTATCTCTATTCTGTTACTCCTTTGCAAGTCTTCAAACCAGAAAATGGCCATTTGGGTCCTTCGTTTCTCAGAGGTTGTTTCATCACTGGAGATCTTGGTAATACAATAACTTACAATATGCCAACAAATCACCATAGGTATGTTTCATTTTCATTCTTTTCTCTACGCGGGTTCATGTTGTTATTTTGATATTCCATCTTATATGCTAAGTGATTATGATATATGAATAGATATTGCCTTGGATTTGCTTCAACGATGTGAAGAGCTGATATTTGCTGCCGATTTTGGATACTCAACAATTGAGAACATTGCATTCTATCTTTCTGATTCTCTCAACAAAAGTCAACGTCACTTCTGGAAGCAATGGGTTTATTACTGTTAGTGCATGTAACTCTTTTAAATGTTGTTTTTCCTCTGCAATTTTCTACATGCTCTTTTCAGTTATATACAAGCCAAATACTGAATTCTGATGATGTGAGTAATGGTATTGAAGCTCAAGTTATTTTAACTATAATCTCGTTTCATCATGGTATATGTAAAGAAAAGAGCTTGGAACTGAACTAAAAAAAAGTGAGAGAACGAATATTTCATTAGCAATAGCTGGCTAATATATCAGCTTTTTCAAAATACTATCCAGCTCTAAAAACATATCTTAGACTGATATGACATGACAATAGGAATAAACAATCTTGCAAAATCTTTTCAACTACTACAAAAGAAACCAAAGGTCTTGCAAAGCCAAAACAAAAAATCAGCAGAATACCTTTGCCTAAGGTAGTCTCATTGCATCAAGACTCCTCCTTGAGACTTTGTCTAGGGACTCTAAGCTTTCTAAGCTCCTGAAATCTGTCTTTAGGCAAAGATTTAGTCTCAAAGAACCTAAGTTGTGACAAAAAGCAACGTGATAAGCATCTTTTATCTATAATCTATAGTTACATTATAATAGTGCCCTGCTTCATTCTAAAGAAGAATAAGGAAGCTCAAAACTAGACTCTCACTCTAAAGGAAGTGCAGCAAACTAAAATATGAACGCTTCATAGAATAAATATGCACCAAAAGGGAATGAACTCAGAACAGAAAATGTGCTTTTGACCACCACCTTGGAATGTGGACACAAATACAAATCCAAAGCTATCTGAGAAAAGAGGTTATTTACCGCTGGAGTTTTATGGAAAAAGAAAAAATCCTCTTATCGGATTTGAACCGATGACTTACGCCTTACCATGGTGTTACTCTCACAAAATCTTCAAATCAAAATAAAAGTACAAAGGAACAATTGTTCCAAAGCCTGCCCTGTCTTTTTCTTTTCACATGACAATGTCTTTTGGAGAATGGATCCCTCTGCAAAGCTCAAGTGTTTGAATGCTCAAAGATTATTACATTTTGAAGAGAAGCCGTGTCCTGATTTACACATTAAAATTTTGTTTCCAAGAATTACTACTACTCACCAATAAAATGGTCAACAGTCACTAGCGAAGAACTTCAACTTGTAGTACCTGAAACCGGTACTTGCAACTATGAACTGAACTATGGAAATGGATATACGAATTAGTTTAGTTATTCTCTTAAAGACAAATGTGTGTAATCATTGACTTTTAGGAATTTATTTTAGAATTAACTTGTCAATTAACTCAATCATGAGAGGAAGGATTATAGCACCCTTTTCCACTTCTATAGAAATCTTTATACAAATCACTGCATCTCGGGTACGCATGGAATTCCTGATTGTAAGGGAAATTTCAAATGTATCATTAAATAAAACAAGTATGGGCGGCGATCAATGCATGAGTCCAAACAAATTATTCAGATTTCACACAAATTCCTAGACATATTTCCTGTTCCCTTTCAGCATTTCTGAGAAAATAAAATTTGACCTTCATGTGTTTGGCATTCCCATGCTGCACAGGATTTCTTGCAATAGCTGATCTGCTATCACAAAATACTTTAGTAGTTTCAGCTCGCTCCAGACCCAAATCTGTCAACATCTTTCTAACTGAATAGCTTGGTTTGCATATTCAACTTCTGCAGATGATTAAGCCACGATCTCTTGCTTTTTGGAATCCCAGCAAAACATACTAGAACCAAGAGAAAATGTATAACCTGATGTACTCCTTCCATCATCTAAGCTTCCAGCCCAATCACTATCCACATGTCAAATTAACTTGGAATCTGTAATAGGTCTAACTCTGATGTGCCTTTGAAATACCTCAGCACCCTTTTACTAGCTACATAATGCACCTCACTTGGTTGTTGCATGAATATTGATGATAAATATGCTGCAAACATCACATCAGGCCTTGTTGGAGTCAAGCAAAGCAAGCTCTGAACAACACTTATGCCTTCGGTGCATCAGCCTTCATATCTTCTTCATCACATTCAGATAATGTTTTATTAACTACTAAAGGAGTATCCTTCGGCCTGCAGCTTTGCATTTTAAAATATCTCAAAAGCTCTTGAACATAAGCTTGTGGAGAAACGGAGATTCCTTGATCTGTCATGAAATCCTGAAAAACAGGGCAGCCATACCTACAAACATATCTTTTTAACTACTACAAAAGAAAGCTGCCATGACAGACCGAATGTCTGGCAAATCCAAAAACAAAAAATCAGTAGATTATCTCTACCTAAAGTATCTAGACAAAGTCTCATTACATCAATATTTGCTTGAGCATACTTGTTTCAAGATAACCATATCCATCTCACCTTTTCTCTCCAGTAGCCAAACGCCAGCATTAATAAGCCATTCCCTTCAGTATTATTAGCTGAGATTTCTCTCATCTATTTTTTATTTTTATATCGTTGGCTGTATCTTATTCTAGGTAAGCCAGACGCTGACAGGCCTTGATATATGTCTCATGAAATCTATATATTTGAGACTTATTTGTTTGTGGATGATAGCTTCACAAAATTCGAATGGCTTCACACAATTTACTTGTCCTTCTATTTATTAATTTTATCACTTTCATTATTTGAAGAATCTAATGTTTCTCCATTTCTTTGATCACTTCATGGGTGGAAGATATCAAAATACCATCAACCACGGCAACTAATCATTTCTGTGTAGACATGCAACAAGAAGACAAGATGAGTAACAGAGCTGAAGGCACAATAACGTAATACTCTCTATCAGTTGATTGGAAGACGAAATCAAATAATATTGCAAATCTAACAGAACATATATATCAAAAGATGTAAAGAAAATTTTATTTTATTAATCATACATGAAAATCAGGCATGTCAAAATATGAAATTTGAAAATAAAAATCATATCTTGTGCATAAGATGCTAATTGCTCACATTTAAGTTGAACCTAACTGTTGTGCAATGCAAAAAAAAGATAGACTTTCACATGCATATACATGTGTCTGTAATCCTTTTGAATGATTTGGCTGATAAAATTCCATCTCAATAGGACTAAATCTACTACAGTTGATCACCTCTCTCCTTTTGGTATGTAGCTTAGAAATTCCCAAAAACTTAAACGAGTTGCTTTTAGGATTTTTGTTCTCATGATTAAGCTTAACTAATATTAAGTTATATTTGAGTTCCCAATTGTCCAGGAAAGAAGGAAATACACAAGCGGAAGTTGCAACATTCACGAGCAACTGAAATACTAAACCTAGTTTGTAAGAATCTAACATTTCTGAGTGAAGATAAAAGGCCTATGATTGCAAAAGCACTATTGACAGTGGCTAAATTAGGAAATGTTGAGTTTTTGTTTAAGGTATCAACAGCAAATCCAGAATTAATCTCAATGGTCACTTTTTCTCAACGAAAGGGGCATGCTTTCTTCAATGCTGTTGAATATCATCAAGCTGAGATTTTTAGCCTTCTCCGTGGGTTTCACTTTAGGAATGTGCTAGCAGCAATGTTCAATGAGAATCATGATAACTTGCTGCACACAGCAGCCAAGTTGGCTCCTGCTTCCCAACTTAACCACATCCCTGGTGCTTCTTTGAAAATACAAAGGGAATGACAGTGGTTCAAGGTTAGAAGTTAAATTAGATGCTTTTGTGTGTGTGTTGTGTGAGGGAGATTGATATATGAAAAAAATCATTAAATCATGTAGTTCCCACCTACTTGGACCTAACGGTTAGCACATGAGAGATTAAATTCAACAAGAAATGAGGGAATAATTGCATTAACTCAGGTGTAACAAATATTTTACTATACAATTTATCAGAAATTTTCTTCTTTCTATTTTTTTTTTTGAATTATAGGCAGTAGAGAGTGTGGTGAATCCTAGAATTGAGCTTCGTCTAAACAAAGAAGGGTTGACTCCTCTGGACTATTTCAAAAAGAATCACAAAGAACTCAGGAATGAAGGAGAGAAATGGATGAAAGATACTGCATCTTCTTGCTCAGTTGTTGGTGCTTTAATCGTTACCATTGTGTTTGCCACAGCTTTTATTGTTCTAGGTGGAAACGATCAAGCATCTGGGTATCCAATATTTTTGAAGGACAGGTTGCTCAAAGTTTTCTTAATTTCAGATGCAGTGTCCTTGTTTGTTTCTACTACTTCCGTGCTTACATTTTTAGGAATCCTCACGTCACGCTATGCAGAAGAACACTTCCTTTATTCCTTACCCACAAAATTGATCATAGGCCTTTCTACGCTTTTTCTCTCAATTGCAACTATGCTGGTAGCCCTTTCCGCAACAATAATCATCATGGTGCAACATAACTGATCACCTTCATGGGCTTTTCTCCCTGTTATTATGCTTGCCAGCGTGCCATTGAGTCTCTTTGTTTTATTACAATTCCCTCTTCTTGTAGAAATAATTTCTTCTACTTATGGTCCAGAAGGTGAAGAAGTGGCCATGAAATGTGTGTTTACTTGAGGCTTTAATTTGCACATTCAGAACATAAACATGTTGATGAACGAATACTCCAGATAAAGTAGTTCTAAAGTAGTGTGTGCTTTTCAGTTTGCTTCATCCCCAAATCTCCATTTCCCCAAAGACTCCAGGACACATGCTTTCTGTAGCATTAACAGGGAAACAAACAAAGCCATTAGCGGAGTTGATGACTATGTGACAGATCCAACTCTGCATGGAAGGTTAAGTAGTCACCAACTCACGTGCTTTCACGTGGACATATGCAGAGGTAGGTGGATTGTGATAAGCGATTGTGAATCCAATATCAGAATTGAGTTAGTTGCTCTGATAGGAACCACACTAATCCACTAGTCAACATATTGCATCAGAGAAAAAAATATATATAATTTTTATTTTCTAGAAGTGAGTGGTTCTAATATAATTTTGCACCCTTATGATCTCTATCTCGAGAGTGAAATAAAAAGAATAATTAGAATTTAATTTTACATAAATTAAAATTGGACCAATCTGCAGGAGGAAGATGAAGGTAAGGGAGAATTTATGATGCGTGGCTTGATAGTGATCATATGAGACGACTGGAGTCATAATGAAGGCTCCAAATTTACGGAAAAAAACATAATTTTTAAGTTAGGTTTGATTAAAAAAAATTTGTAATTTTAGTAAAACAATATTGTGGATGTTACCCCATAGGCATAGATATCTTGATAGTGGGGCCTGATCACCCCATGATCACTGAAATATATGAAATATACTCTCCATATATATATATATATAGATGATTGGTTAGAATAAAAGAAATAGAGAATTGCAATCAAATCTCAAATATAAAATATTGTTGATAATTATTTTCTTTTCTTGAAGTTTTATTGTAATTCTCTCTATAAAATATAAAATTGAGAAAATTTGACTAAAAATAGTTCATACATATCTGCATTTAAATATTATACCATACTGATCTTCTCTCTATTTAATTTAAATTATGGAGACTTTTTTCTCCTATTTTTAAAAAATTACATGACTTTCTCTCAAGATCAATACATACACATATACATATTAGATGAATTTCTCATTTAGTTTTGAGATTTTTAACTCTTATTAATGATTAAAGATATGGGTATGGATTCTGGAAATAATCATTGGTTATGACCGGTAATTAAGGATTTGTTTGAAATGGTAATTAGAGCTTTTAAAAGTAACTTTTTAATCATAATTTATAAAATATAGATAAATATATACAAAAATTTTGTTTTGACTGACATAAAAGTGTTTATATGTAGTTATTAAATAGTTACAGATCAAGCCATTCAAATTTGTTCCAGCAGGACACCAAGCAAATCTTGGAGGATATTCCACATTTGGTCTGTCCTTTCTCTTCATTCAAATTTATGATTTGTTTGTTAAAATGACTTCCGTTGGAATTCTTTGTAATTGTTATTTGATTCCTTTTATGAGAAAAAAAAATTTTATTCTTTCAATCTTTTCTTTTTAACCTGAACAAGTATTTTTTCAGTCTACACTTACTATCTTAAATATAAGGCTTACTTAAGTAATGGTAGATTTCAAAAAAAAAATTAAAAAATAAAGGGTAAGTATTTTACTTGTAAGAAAAGAATTTGTAATACTATTTTTAAAAAAGAATATACTCTTACCATCTAATGATTAAAATATATAAAATACATAATTGAAGATACCTTAATAAATGGAGGTAATAAAAAAGGAAAAAATATCTTAATATAAGAGACAAAAAGAAATAAAATGTTATACTTAAAAAAAAACATTTATTTATGATGACAGTGTGATATGTTGATATGACGGGAAAAATTTGCTATAGTGACAATTGTCATTAAAAAAAAATCTGAGTATAAATTTCTCCATCATCATCTAATGCAGGACATGTGAGGGTTCTAAAAGGATTTTAAATGTTGATAAAATATTATTAAATCTTATCTTATTATGTTTAATTTTTAAAATAACTATTTTGTTATAAAAAATTATTATTTAAGACTAACGAATTTAGTCATGCAAAAAAAAAGACTAATAATTTTAAAGATAAAAGACTAAAAAAGTACTTTTTAAAATTAAAAAACTAAAATAAAACCTTATATAAAGTTAAAAGAACAAATATACATTTTAATCTATAGAATATTCTCCAGAATTTGCCAAGGTCCCTCCCAAAAAAAAAAAAGTCCTCTAAGGAGTGGATCTAATTGATCTCCTAATATTGATCGTTTTTTTAAAAAATTTCACTTAATATTTAAAATAGCTTAAAATACATAGAAATTTCCTAAATTTTAAATAAGTTGCATGTAACCTTCTTTATCTTTAAAAATTTAAATTAAGGACCATAATATTTTATATTAAAATTAATGGTTTTCGCCATGTCAACCTTTTATATTTTTTATTATATGCCATGTCATTTAAAAAATAGCACTTGCAGTTTAGAAAATTTTTTATATATTTTTTGAGTACTTAAAAAGAAAAACTTAATTACTTTAAAATATAAAAATATAAAAATATTTGAAATATTTATTTAACTAAGTTTTTTGGATAAAAAATTTTAAATTACTTCAAATTACATGCCACATGGCAAGTGTTATTTTTTAAATGACATGATATGTAATAAAAAATATAAAAAAAAATTTATGGTAAAAACCACTGCCTTATTAAGCAAATCCAGATCAAGCCATTCAAAGTTGTTCCCACAGGGCACCAAGCAATCTTGGAGGATATTCCGCTGTTAGTCTGTCCTTTCTCTTTGTTAAGTTATCTTGTTCATTCATGGTTTGTTTGTTAAAATGACTTCCCTTGGATTTCTTCTTTGTAATTGTTATTTGACTCCTTTTATGGAAAAAGAGTTTACTTAAGCAATGGTAGATTCCCCCAAAAAAAAAAAAGGTAAGTATTTTACTTGTAAGAAAAGAATTTGTAATACTATTTTTTAAAAAAAAATATACTCTCACCATCTAATGATTAAAATATAAAATATACAGAATTAAAGATACCTTAATAAATGGAGTCAATAAGAAAGGGAAAAAAAATCTTAATATAGGAGAAAAACGGAAATAAAATGTTATACTTAAAAGGGAAAATAAAAAAAACATTTATTTATGATGACAGTGTGATATACTGATATAACAGGAGAAACTTGCTATGGTGACGGTCTTTTATTTAAAAAAACAAAACTCCGGGCATAAATTTCTCCATCATCATTTAATGCAGAGCATGTGGAGGTCTCTAAAATATATTAATTTTTTAATTTTATATAAAATTTTAATTTAGTTTCTTGGCTTTTTTTTTAATAGTTTTTTGGCTTTGAAATACATATTTTTAGTTTAATCCTAAAACTGTTAATAAAAAAATAATGATATTAAAATCTTAAATGTTGATAAAATATTTTTAAATGTTACTCCTCCGGTCCTTAATGTAAGACCCATTTAACTAATTTGATTAGATTAAGAAAGTTATGTAAGTTAGTTAATTATAAGAAATATGACACGTTTTTCCTAAAACACCATAATCATCTTTTTTAATACTCCATCTCCCTCTTCTACTTGATTATGGTTGAGGGAGTATCCATAGGGGTAATTTAGAGAAAACTGATAAATATGATAAATGGGTCTTATATTTAGGATCAAAACCAACTCAACAATCGGGTTCTATATTAAGGAACGGAGGAGTATTATATTAAGTTTAATTTTTAAAATAATTATTTTGTTATTAAAAAATTATTATTTAAGAGTAACAAAAAAAGAAAAGACTAATAATTTTAAGGTTAAATGATTTAAAAATATACTTTTTAAAATTAAAGAACTAAAATAAAATCTTATATAAAATTAAATGAACAAACATATAGTTTAGCCTATTTGGATAGAGCATCCTCCAGAACTTGTCAAGTCCCTCCCAAAAAGAAAAAAAATCCTCTAAGGAGTGGCTCTAATTAATCCAGTAATAGTGATCATTTTTGAACAAAAATTAATTTAAAAAAGTTCAGTTAATATTTAAAATAGGCTGAAGTACATAAAAATTTCCTAAATTTTAAGTCATTTCCATAAAACTTCTCCCATCTTTAAAAGTTTAAATTAAGAGCCATAATATTTCATATTTTGATTATTAATTACTCTGCCATTAAAATTACTGTTAAAATTAACGGTTTTTGCCGTGTCAACATTTTATATTTTTTATTTTATGCCATGTCATTTAAAAAATAGCAGTTGCAGTTTAGAAAAGAAATTTTCAATTTTTTAAGTACTTAAAAAGAAATACTTAATTACTTTAAAATATATAAAATTTATTTAACTGATTTTTTTTAGATAAAAAATTTTAAATTACTTCAAATTACATGTCACACGACAAGTGTTATTTTTTAAATGACATGATATATAATAAAAAAATATAAAAAAATTTGGACATGGTAAAAACCACTGCCTTTAACGATAAGAAGGTTGATAATCAAATAATTAAACATTAAAGTTCTTAAAGGTGAAGGAGATTTTACGACCAAAGCTTTTGGGGTAATGTATATAAACTTCTAAAAATAACAATCCACTGACATTAATCAGCAATTACAGGATATAACATCATGCTTGAACGAAAAACTATAAAACAATGTGAATACTTCTGCCATACTTTACATAAGTACATGAAAATTTTTTTGTCTTAACATGAATATATATATATTTTTAAGTACACCTACAACTGAAACATGACTTCTCCTATTCTTTCATCGGTTAAATCATTTTCTAATATATGTAAAGTGAAGTGAATATAATTGTTGGCAAAAAAAAAGAGTAAAATCATTATTTAACCCTTACAATCTTTCATTTATTTCAATATATATATATATATA